TCATGCAAAGCACAGAAATAGGAGTGATAACAAAAGGGGGAAGACGGTGGCTCGCCTACGTTTGTCTGTCAGCTCAGCTGCTGTGTCAGACTTTCCTGTGAAAATCCTTCAAATTGTGATTTCCAGGAATGCAGCTGTTTCTGTGGCTCCCTGTGCAGCATMGTGGGCATGCTGTCATGTGGCTGACCTTTTCAGAACTGTGTTGACATGTTCAGAAATAGACTTTGCGATGTAAAGATAACATATTGGGTTGGGCGGGAACGGGGATAAACAAATCAACGCAGAGAGAGCAGGCCCTTTAAAAGCCCTGGCAAGCGCTTGCAGGGGTCGGGGCTACATGGGCTGTTGCAGTCCGAATCCTGCTTTTCTCCTCTCTGTGGTGCTCATCACTCTGCACCGGTTCCTCAGCTTAATCTTACCATCACCTTCTGCAGGGGGTATGTGGGGGGGAGACTCGCAGAGGGGAAATGAGTTCACATCCCACTCACTGTTCTTGTGTCCCACTCGCCTCAGCTGAACCTCTGTGCAGGGAGACAGAGTGATTTGCCCGGACTGGGAGGTCTGTGTCAGAGCTGAGATAACGCTGTGACCGCCGAGCTCCAACCTGGTGCCCCAAGCCTTGAACCACCTTCCTTGGAAGGTGTTGGTGAGTGAGGCGACATTTAGCGCTGCAGAAGCTGCCGTTTTCCCCCATCAAAAGGAAAGCTAGTGCAAGGCTGGCACGTATCACAGGAGCTGTACTGCTTTTAAGCATATGGGCATTTTGAGGAGAGATAAGTTTCTGTATCAGTTCACAATAGCAAAAGACATAAGGACGAATCTTTCCCCATGAAACTGAGTTTGTTATTTTGCAGGTCACGGCAGCCTGGAGGAGCCTGCGAGGCTGTGCTGGTCGTGCTGTGTCGGTGCCTTGGAGCCAGTCACAGGTGCGCCTGAGGTTGCCTGGCAGGGGTGCGTGCTCAGTGCAGCACCATTGATTACCTGGCAGCAGGCACTGCCAGCACATGTAGCTTTACCCGTGAGGTCACGTAACGTGTCCACTCTGCTTTCCTCTGGTTTCATAAAGCAGAGCGGCGAGGTTGCAGAGAGGTTTGCATGCAGGCACTATTGCTCAGAGGCTAAATTCCTGCTTTGCTTCTGATGCTGGTAGTACTTCAGAAAAAAAGAATGTGGATCTCACTAACCTTTTAATCACTCAAATCATGTTTACTTCAAAAACCTTTTTAAAGATAGAAATGGGAACAGTTACTTAACGCTTGCAAAGATAAGCAACTTTTATATTATTCCAGGGATACACTTAGACGCAGGTCTAAGTCTGTGAGGAGGTGCATTTAAGCTCTATTTAGTTTTGTATGTGGAGGAATCTCCCTTTTGCCCTTTCTTCCGCGGACTCACTTGCATATGACAAACTGGTTTAACTGGTGTGATAAACACTGCTTCTGTAAAATAAATAAAACTTTGTATGATCAGATCTTACTCATTTAGAGCAACTGCAAAAATGGTTAAGTCTTGTCATGAACGTTCTTATCTGTCAGTCATTTACAGAAAAACTTTGCTTTAGCCAATTGTGCAAYTGGGAAGTCATTGATCTGAGCCAGTAGTTGTGTGGATTTCTCTAGAGGACAGCAAYTTTTAAATTTATTTTTTAACTCATTAAAGAGCAATTTCCTCTAGTAAAGCTCTGAATGATACAAGCAAGCAATGTTTAGAAAAATGTTTTCTTAATTTTCTTAGTATCTTCGCTCCTTTTTGGAACGAATGTAATTTGATTCTTACTGCTATTTTGGGAGAGATTCTCAGCACTCTTTAATCAAGAGTGATAAACAGGAAAAGTACCGGAGAAGCATATGAAGATGAGGTGAAACTGGACAGAACAAAATATAAATGCAATCCAATTTTCAGCATTACTGTTGTTCACAAAGTAACTGATGACTGTTTCCTAATGGTATTGGTAATTTTTTTTTGTGTAAACTCTGCTATCTATCTATCAGTATAATCAGACCTTTACTGAGGATTTACCCAGAACTGTGACTTATTACATGGATTTCTGACCTGGCTGGCCAAAGGATATGCTRTGAATGCCACACCTTGCCTACTGCTTTCCTTAACACTTCCTGCTGTCTTGCCTAACTGCTATTTCTGTCACCTGTCATTTGTTGATCACTGACTCAGAGAATGATTCAAATGTTATTTAAACAGTGATGTTTGAAGGCCGTTTATCAGTGACTCTGTGGGAGGAGCATTTTGCAATATGTACTTCACATTTTTTCCCTCTGATAATCTGGAGACCTGAAGCTAGGTCTGCTGGTCTACCTCCTTCTGTGTGACTCRGCTCTGCTGTTCTCTGAACACCCCCAGCAAGCAGCACCAGCAGAGCATTAAAGTTGCAGAGCTCTGGCAGCAGTGTGCTTGCCTTTGCTTAAATGTGTGGGCGAACGTGCACCCTGCCTTCAGGAACTAGTAGATGAGACAGATCTTGACCCTTTGCAGAAAGGAGAGAGGGTTGCAAGATGGGTGAGAGCAGCTATTGTCAGACCATGGGGATAACAGTGGTTAAGGCAGAATCTTTTTGATTGTCCATGTTCAGTTTTGAAATGGTCCTGCAAGGCACCTGCCTTGCAGAAGCAGTTTCCATGTTGCTTTCTTCCTGTTGCTAGGGCATTTGCCAACTTTTGGCTTAACTGAGACAGGACTCAGGGTTGTTGATTACCTTCTTAAGAGGGTGAAGGGCTAGCTTCACCTTTTCAGTGAAGGGCAGTGCCAGAGCTATTTTATGTGCACTGTCACTGGAAAGCCAAACTATCAGTCAGGCTTTGCTTTGCAAGGTCTACAAAAGAAGGTCCTCATGCATACGGCACTCTTCACTCCCCTATGCAGAGTTTGGGTCATGCCAGTCCATGTAACCCAGTAGTTATCCCATGTTTAGATGGTGTCATTATCATATTCCGTATAAGAATGATCTGACTTTTCTTATTTACGTGATAAGTGTGTCCAGAAGGCTTCTTTGTCAGCTGGGTAGTCCCAGCTGCCAGGGCACAGTGCATCTTGTCAACTCTAAAGCTCTCACCAGGGCTTTGAAGTTAATAAGGAGTTATTTGACCTGGCACAGAGCATCTTGTAGCATTCCAGGTTTTTATTTCTTAGTGTACCCCTGTACGTGACTGGAGTAAAAAAGTTCTCTTGAGTCGGAGCCAGGGCAGTCAAGCAGGTCCCTTTGTCTGTATCTCCAGAACCTGATGAAGATGATCTGTTATGGGTATTTAAGGACTGTTTTGGGGAGTGCGTGGCTAGAAAAGTRGAAATAGCTAGGAATGGTTTATTTTAGTTCTTGCTCAGCTGAGTATGAGAAAGTATTCTCCCATTGAATTTTTATGCATAAAATGTTGAAAATGTTGAAAAAAATGCATCTCATTCTTACACTAGCAAGTGTATTCATGAGAGAAAAAAAAAATCCTCTTTCAAAGCAATATTTTTTCATGCAATTGCAGAAGCATCTCAAATCCCTAACCTTGTTTAGTTGCCTCTGTGCTGTCTGTTAGGTGCCTGCACACTGTCAGAGACTCTTCTCTAAACTGATAAGAGTAACAAAGAGAAAGGAGAATCTCTGTTGTACAGGGGACAAATGAAGTGATTCACTCCCAGGCGCAAATGGGAGCAGAAGTCTGATCTTCCCCACGTTTCAGACCCTTCCTTGCAAGTACTCCCTTGCTTTCTTGTGTTTTGGTTCATCCATAACACTTAAATGAAGAGAATGCCGGCAGTGCCCAGGGACTCCTTTCACACTTTTGGTGCCGCTGGCCTAGGAGATAYGAATGTCCAAAGAATAATTGCAGCTGATCCCTGTGCCTGCAATATACCTGACATCGCATCTCTTGGTCCTTGGTGCTCTTTAGTTTCATTCAGGGAGGCACCACGATGGGGTTAAACACCTCCCGGGACCTGCTGCTCTCTGTAATTGTGTGAGTCCATGTTAGCTACAAAGTAAAGCAAAACAGAGATCCCTCTGTAAGCACAAAACCACAGTCTCTTAGACTGCTCTGAGTCAGGCTGTTCCTTGTTCTCTCTAACTTTGCTGATTCCTATGGGTGCCCTGCTGTGAGGGTCAGAGGCAGGGCATGGGAGAGAAGAAGGAGAGCCATAGCCTTAACTTTGCCCTACCTATCCAAACTGCCTGGCCAGGGAGGCAGCACGTGAGCCAACTTCAAAGGGTACAAGCATGTTGTTTCTCCTTCCTCATCGCTTGACTCTTTCAGCTAGTCCTCTGTCTTACCTAGGACTGTACAGGAAATGGTCCTTCATGTCGTAGCAGTGTTAAGGCTTAAAAATACCTATTACAAGTCTAACCTGAGACCTTTAGATTTTTTTTTTCCTTGTGAAGCATATGTGAGGCCAACCTTAATGTGCCAGTGGATCTGACAATTGCTTGGGGTGAAGAAGAGAGAGACCCAAGTCCATGCCCTCAGGAACCCAAATTGAGCATCTAACCTGGGTTTCTCAGGACCAGCCAAGTCTTACCACGCTCTTGGCTAAACTGGGAAGAGTCCATCCTTGGTTTTGRCTGTCCCTCTTATTTGTCAGAAACTTGCTGACTCAGATTTCCAGTGAGTTTTCTTACAGAGGTCTTCACTGCTTCTCTAGGCAATGTTGTAAGGGAGGGGAGTTGCCACTGAATTGCCTCTGAAACAGATTTAATTAGTGAGTGTGAGAAATGAGTCATTTTCTGTGGAATCCATTTCAGCACAATTAGATAGAAGGTAGTAGCACTCAACCTTCAAGATTTCTTTATCTTTGATAGCTCTCACAGTTTTCCTTCAAGGCCTAGAYTTTAGGCATGAAGTTCAGCAGTTTTATTTGACAGATAGTATAACAGATACAGAAAGAAGTGGATTGATGTATAGCTGTTACTGATACTCATTTGGAGTGTTTGGAGCACTCTCTTTTGTCTTGGCAGGTCTTCCCCAAAGAGTGCCAAAAGAATCTGTGTATTTTACTCTCTCTAGGCATCATGTGTTGCTTACAAGTTAAATTACGTCCGCCAACAGAACTCGACAATGGAGGGCACATGGAGGGGAGTGTCATATCCACACAAAAGGGTAAGGAGGAATTTTAAGAAGACGCTCACATTTAGGGTGAAATTTTCAAGGGTTTGGATCTCAGCTAAAAAGCCTTGTAGAAATAGTTCCATTTTAAAATGACCTGCCTGTCCATTGTCACCAGTGACTGGTGTTTTTTAAGCACATGTGGAAACAGGTCGTACTTTCTGCTTGGCTAAGAAAAATATATGACATTTATCTCTTCTCCTTAAACACTCAAAGACATTTGAAAACTGCAAATGTAGTAGAAGGAGATATTTTCTTCCATACAGAGCATAATTCCCCTCTACAGCTCACTACCAATTGACAAGTTAACCAAGAATTCATCAGGATTTAGGGAGGGAGTGATAGTTGGACCTTAGATGACTTTTGCAGCCACCTGAAGAGGAAAGTCACAGGTCTGACATAAAAAATTCCTCAGTACTTTTCAAAATTGCATGCAACCTGGTGAACAAGACCATCCACGTGTATTTTAGATGTTCTGTTTGATATTTTTATTTTGATGGTGAATTGGAACATAACCCAATTTCTAAAGAACAGTGCCCAGAAGGAAACCTCTACAGTAAACACCTCATTGCATTGTTTTGTCTTTGGACAGAAGAAAGGAGAGCCATAGTATTGCAAGAGGGGTCATATATCTGCGTACACTTGTCTCTCTGATTATGGCTGTGTTCATTTTCCCTGTGGTTAGCCTTTGAGTACCCTGGGGCCCCAGTGTCACGTTCAATGCAGTATCAAGGCTGCTGAAAATTATTTTCCRGTGTGTCACAGAAGTGAATATTTCATGATCTCTAGGTGAAATACCATCTTATCATAGCTCAGGATTTTGTTCTCAGAAGACATAATGCATACTGTACTCATCTGGTGCATACTGTACTCTTCTAATCTGTACTTTTGACTTTTTTTCTGAGAGGCAGTAAATGTCTCTTGTAAGTGGCAGTATTTCTTTTTCTGTGATGTGAAGTACCTTTTGTCTTAAGGAACCTTGGCTAGCTTACTGTTGTGAGTCATTTCAGTCACAAATACACTTACAAAAATATCATGCTTATTTATTTTCTTATTTTCAAACAATACTGAGACAACACGCTAATTTTGTCTGTGACTCCAGTAGTAATGTGTCAGATTACTGCCTTTCTACCCATGTCTATATGGTGTATATACATTAGGTAGAACATCGGTTCCAAGGAATACTCCACAGCTGGGCAGTAACTAAAATACGCCATTAATGCCTTACTTGACTTCACAAGCATATCAAGTAAATATCTGTATTTTGCAGCTCAACCCCTACCTCCTGTGTCAAAATATTCCAAATTCATTCATTTATCTTGATGGAAATAAAGCTTCTGTGCAATAGAATGTGGCAGYCTACAAAGCCCAGCACAAGGAAATCTGCAGAGATTTTCATCAAGAAGTCCAAGCAAATCTCTTTTCTGTTTTTCAAGACTGTATGCATGAAACGAGTGAATGCCATGAAGTCATGAATGTTCATGTGGAGTATACATGAATTTTCAAAATCTGATCTAATGTGTTAGACTGCCTCACTTTGAGTTTGTTCTTTTTGCTTTGACAAGTCACTATTCAGCAGTCAATGAGCTCATTAATTACCTCACTACATAGGAAATAAATCTGGAAGAAATGTCAAATGGGTTAAGCAGATGTAACTGAGAGCAGAACTTGACCCTGTATTTTTGAGAAAAGTCACTGAGTTAAGTTTTGAGAGTTTTCTTTCCCGTGTAAGTTTCCTTCCTCTCATCATTGTATTTGCCACTGTTACAAACATCCAGGAAGGCAAAATAAACAAACAAACCAACATTCCCCCCCCCCCCCATTTTTAATAAGCAGAATGATTCATTTTACATTGTCTGGTGCATTTTTTTCTAGGTAGTAGAAATTTTCACTACTGAGCAAGTCTGTGGAGCAACCCTGAGCTCCTGAAGATTTCTCATGGCAAACTGCTCTCCTGCAGCGTGTGGACAGAGACAGTGAAATCTGCAGTTATACCTTCCCTTGGTTAAGTGCCCTCCATTTTTAGCTGGTTACTTCCCTCTACCATAGTCTTCCTTTCCTGTCTCTCCCCAAGGTGAACATGTTTAACTTCACGGCCCTGAGCATGGAGGTTCATTTCACAAACTCAGCAGATTTAATCCAGCCTAGATGAGCAAAGAAACAGGTTAAAGAAACTATTTCATCAGGCTAAAGACAGATCACTGTTGTGGCTCATATGCCGAACAAAACTGGCTGTGACTTGTGTAGGCCACTTGATTTCGCATGTGCAGAGCTGCAGCACTGAGCCTGGTGTGTGTGGTGGACAAAGTGCTCCTTAAGGGTACAAATAGTGAATGGTGGATTCAAATGGATGTGTAAATTCATTAGAAATTTCAGTGACTAAATGTTCCTTTTTATGTCTTTAGAATGACGTTTCTCTCCTATCAGCTCATCATTATGAATGATGGGAAGAAAAAAGGGATTTTTTCTGGCCAAACATCACACACATTTTTTTAACCAAAGGGTTCTTTTCTGAGAGATTTTAAGTGAACTCATAAATAGCTTCTGTTCTTACCTTCTTTACTTAYGTGAATATAAATAAGGTGTTACTGCAAAAAAGTGAACATTTTTGTATAAATRTTGCTATGTATCTACTAATCCTATTTGCTCTCCCCTTTTTATCTGAATATGTTTTTGTGCTTGGTTTGTTAATGGAATTCTGTGGGAATGGAGTGTTCTGTTTTCTCCAGCGAGAAGTGTGAGCATGCTAGTTTAATTTTCATGTGGAATTTAAATATTAATCAGAACATTTCCTTTTGGATTTGGTTGTTGGCTTTCACATCCATTCCCTATTAAAAAAAAAAAAAAAAAAAGTGGTTACAATGTTCTTACACTTTCACTACTAGAAGGCCAGACA